CCAGGGATGGGGCAGCCACAGCTTCTCTGGGCAACCCGCTCCAGTGCCTCAGCACCCTCAGAGGGAAGAATTTCTTCCTTAGAACCCATCGAAATCTCCCCCCTTTCAGTTTAAAGCCATTGCCCCGTGTCCTGTCACTACACACCCTTGCCCAAAGCCCCTCTCCAGCTTTCTTGTAGCCCCTTTAGGTACTGGAAGATGCTGGAAGGTCTCCCCGGAGCCTTCTCTTCTCCAGGCTGAACAGCCCCAACTCTCTCAGCCTGTCTCCAGAGCAGAGGTGCTCCAGCCCTCCCATCATTTTCATGGCCTGCTCTGGCCCTGCTCCAGCAGCTCCGTGTCCTTCTGCTGTTGGGGACCCCAGAGCTGAACGCAGCACTGCAGGGGGGTCTCAGGAGAGCAGAGCAGAGGGGCAGAATCCCCTCCCTCACCCTGCTGCCCACGCTGCTCTGGATGCAGCACGGGAGCAAATGGGAGCATCTGTGTGTCACCTGGTCCAGGCATCAGTGAGACACTGAGCTCTGCCTGCTCCTCTTCTCCTCGTCCTGCCCCCTCAGTCCTGGGACCATTCGTGGGCACATCGTCCATCACTGACCCTGAGGGAGCAGGGTGGGGGCAAAAGTACATCTCTGATACATCCAGACCCCAAACCTCACTGTCGTGGATGGTGTGAACATCTCATCTGGGGGTGGGGTTGGTGTGAATGTTGGGGAAAGCTCTTTGAATTAGTCCTCTCAAAGTTCCCTTTTCACGTGTGTTGCCAGTGGAGGCTTGTTCCAAACCCAGGCTGTTGCAGGTCTCTCCATCCTCATCACTGTCATCTCTGGCACATCTTCAGCCACAGCTGGAGCCCAGCACACTTTCCCCTGTACATATCATAGCACGTGGAGAAAGGTCCTGGACTGATGGCCCCAGACACTGAGGTTTGCTGTCAACTCATGGGACATGTCCAGGGAACCCTCCCCATTCTTCATCCTTGGTCTTGGGGAAGTGGGTGGTGGCAGCATAGCTCCTGGGGTGTTTTGAGCCCGTTGCGCTCATTTTTGTTGAATGAGGACTTCTCCCATCCCTGCTATTGCTATTGACTATCAAGGGTTAGAAGAGATGTGCCAAAGGCAGAGGACACCAGAAGCGTGCCTCAGGCTGCCTCACGTTGTCACGATGATTCATAAAATTGCTCCTGTCCTCCACCAGTTGACTCAAGTGAGCTAACAGCCTGGGTGATTTCTACTTTTGCAGGTAGTTGCTTTTGCCTCGCTTTTCTTCATCCTGGTCTCCATCACAACCTTCTGCCTGGACCCCTTGCAGTACGTGGCCTTCGCCTCCCTCTTCTTCATCCTCATCTCCATCACCACCTTCTGCCTGGAGACGCACGAGGCCTTCAACCGCGTCATCAACCGCACCGAGCCGGCGCCGCCGGACAACTTCAACATCGACGTCAATGTGACGGAGACGCTCGTGATTGGCAACACCACGACAATCCTACTGACGCATAAAGTGGAGACGGAGCCCATCCTCACCTACATCGAAGGCGTCTGCGTCCTCTGGTTCACCCTCGAGTTCCTGGTTCGCATCATCTGCTGCCCAGATAAGCTTCTCTTCGTTAAAAACCTGCTCAACATCATTGACTTTGTGGCCATCTTGCCCTTCTACCTGGAGGTAGGTCTCAGTGGCCTGTCCTCCAAAGCTGCCCGGGACGTACTGGGCTTCCTACGGGTGGTCCGTTTCGTCCGGATCCTCCGGATCTTCAAGCTGACACGGCACTTTGTGGGTCTCCGGGTGCTGGGCCACACACTCCGGGCCAGCACCAACGAATTCCTGCTCCTCATCATCTTCCTCGCCTTGGGGGTCTTGATTTTCGCCACTATGATCTATTACGCCGAGCGGATCGGAGCCAAGACGTCTGACCCCCGCGGGAGCGACCACACTCACTTTAAGAACATCCCCATTGGGTTCTGGTGGGCTGTGGTCACCATGACGACCCTGGGCTATGGCGACATGTACCCCAAGACCTGGTCGGGCATGGTGGTGGGGGCTCTCTGCGCGTTGGCCGGGGTGCTCACCATCGCCATGCCCGTGCCCGTCATTGTCAATAACTTTGGGATGTACTATTCGTTGGCCATGGCCAAGCAGAAGCTGCCAAAGAAGAAGAAAAAGCATATACCCCGTCCGGCCCCGCTGGACTCCCCTACCTACTGCAAATCCGAGGAAAACTCCCCCCGTAACAGCACCCAGAGCGACACTTGCCCGTTGGCAGTAGAGGAGGGGGCGGCTGAGCGGAAACGGTCAGGTGAGACCCCAACGGTGGGGCAGAGGGGAGGGGGAGAACTCTGGGAGCCCCCAGGGCAGTGGTTTTGGTCCCCTCTGTCTCTGAGCCCCTGGGGACTGTCCTACTGCAGGTCCCCAGCTCTTGGGTTGGTGAGATCTTGGTGCAGAAAGGGCTGGGGCCCTTGGGTGTCCGGGTATTGGGTGTCGTACTGGTGGATCGAGATTCCTGCTCCGGGCAGGGGGGTAAAGGCCATATCCTGCTCTCCTGGTGGCCTAGATCAAGTCACCATGGAGTGATTCAAGGTGTCCCTACCTAGCCCACGTCTTCCTCGATGCTGACAGGGGTAAGGCCATTTGCCCGATTCCCATCTTAGCCTGGTGACACCTTCGCGGTAGATTTTCTTTTGCTTTGTCTCACCATAAATCAGGGCAAGCTTCACCAAAACGGATAAATCCATGGATATTCCCTGGGGCTTGACCCCACCTCCCCGTTCATCTAGTAGATGTAGCATCCTTGCCTGGCAAGGTCAACGCTGCCTCAAATCCTGGGCTGAGGCAGGAGCAAAATCAGCCCCTCTACGTTTATGGTTTGGTCTCATGCCCTGAGCTGAAGTCTGGGGTTTGGCCAGTCTTCTCCTTCAGGCCAGGAGAGGGCATGGCCGCGGCTGTGGGCACTCGTTGGTGGGCAGCATCGCTTGGGCTAAGCTCGGGGACTGCTGGTATCGGTGCTGGCCACGGAGGCTGCTTTGCCCTTTTCCTCTGGTCTGCTGCCAGCGGCACCTCCGCAGCAGCGGCTTCGAGCTGCGGAAACGAGAGGGACCACGGTAGGGTCGTGTCCTGCACATTCACTGAGGAGCAGCCACACATCTGGCCACATGTGTTGGTCCTTCACCCATGGGGACACAAGGAGCTCCAAACGCCTCAGAAAGGTGTTTCCCTTTATAAATCCCCGTTTCCACGTGCCTACGTGTCCCGTCTGCCCCAGGAGCCCTGGCAGCGGTGAGCAGTGAGGGTGGCTGTCCTACTCTGGAGGAGCAGGTCAACCCTGTCCCTTCACCCTAAAACTGATCCAGGAGCTTGGGCCAGACCCTCACCTGGCACAGCATCCTCTCAGCTAATGACCCACGAAGTCAGATGACATTAATTAGCTCTTCGCATCTAACCTGAGCTCAGTGGTCTGAGTTTTGGAGAGCTAATTGCCACCAATTAGGTGGGTGGATCTCAAAGACCAGGGGTGTTTCTTTCCCTGACAAACTCTGCTTGGATTCACACAGGGTATATAACCCTCAACAGGAGTAAGGGCTGATGTTTGGGATTAAAACCTGGCATGGTCCTGCTCCTCTGGTCACTCTAAGTAGCACATCCAGGCTGGGATCAGTACCTGAATTTGTGGGTGTTGCTCTGGGCCACCTGCAATCTGGTCTTCTCCTTCCATGCATGGTCTGAGTGAAGTCTTCCAGCCACCCCGAGCACCTTGTCCTGTGGGTTTATTGACTGCTGATGGGTCTCTGCCACCTTCTTGCAGACTCTAAGCAGAACGGTGAGGCCAACGTGGTGCTGCCGGATGAGGAGCAGCCGCTGTCGCCAACCGATGAGGAGAAGCGGCCCATGCGGCGCTCCAGCACCCGGGATAAGAACAAGAAATCCTCCACGTGCTTCCTGCTGGCCACAGGTGACTTCTCCTGCGCAGCAGATGGAGGCATCCAGAAAGGTATGGCTGCTGCTGGAGGCGTGAGCTGGGGAGGGCGAGATGGAGGAGCGAGGCAGAGGTTTACTGCATCTGTCTGGGACAATGGTTCATCTCCATCTGCCTGCCTGGCTTGTTTTCTCTGCTTCCCAAATCCGCTTGTCCTCCTGCCTTTTCATCTGCTTCATCTCTGTCCACCACATCTCTCTGTGCTAGCTCTATCCTTTTTGCCTTCTCCTCCCATGAGTGTCACCATTTGGGGTCTATGACCCCACGCTGGCTGCTCTGCCCTCCTTGGGGACAGGTCTGTCCCTTTGCTCCCCAGTGCTCCGGCTTCTCCTGTCCCTCTAGCTCTTCTCCCTGGGCCCGTCACCTATCTCGAGGTGGTGTGAGGGACATCCTTCCTGGGGAGGTGGTGAGATTGTGACTGGAGGTGGTCAAAAGGTTTTCAGTAGGGGAAAAAAAAAAAAAATCCACAGGCTTTTCCTTTCTCTCCCCCTTGGATGTCTTTTGGTGGGTTTGAGCGTGGGGAGCCGCGATGTGTCAAGTTCTGCTGTGCCAAAAGCACGGGGCTGCCAGAAAGGCTGTCTCCTCTGGGTTTGGAAAGGGAGCTTTGCTAAATGTTGAGGTTTTCCATAGGAAACTGTGGGGGAGAGGAGTCAGGAAAACATGAAACTCTTCTTCCCTTGACAAAACAACAGTCCTCTTCAGCCTGGTCCTTTTGGACCATCCTCCAGCCTTCTCCGCTCCACCAGCGAGCGTGCCCCATGCCCATCTCCCAGCACCCCAGCCCCTGGGAGGGTGAATCCAGTGCCTGCCTCGAGCCACGAAATCCAGCTGCACCCTCGGTTGCTGGGTTAATTCTTACGACACGGCTCAGTTTTTGTAGTTCTGCAGTTTTTCTTCTGTGTCCAGGGTGGTGTGGGATGATGTAGCTGCAGAGCTGACCCATCTTTACCTCCGTGGTACCATCTAATCCCAGGTACTTAGGGGGAGCTGTGCACACGAGCTGGGATGAGGCAGGAGGAAAGATGATGTGCTGTCTCCGAGCTGCACACCAAGACCTGGTGGCTCCTGGTGTTGATGCTTTGGAGGCCCTCAAGGGTTTGTTGGTGTAGCGGTGCTTGGGTTGGTGAAAACTAAATGGGCTTGGGACATGGGGAGGTGTTTGGGGGCAATCACATTTATTTCATTAGTAGAAGCAAATTGGTTGCTCCATCCTGGGAAATCAAGGGTTCCCTTTGGTGTTCCTGCTCAACCTTATCCCTTAGAAAGTGGAAAGACAATGAAAAGTCTTGCTCATCTTTGGGCAGAAGGATACTGTACAAATATTTGCTCGAAAAGTTTCAGGAATTTCCTGGAAATGCCTTTTTCTGTGAACTTGGTCTCTTTTCTTAATGCCTGCTAATGAGAAGAGGTGAGGGCTCTAGTCCTGTCCCAGAGTGGTGGGACTGCTGAACTGAAGGAGAGGAACGAAAGGCAGTGTTGATCTTCCTTACAAGATGCTCAAGTCAGACATCTCTTCAGCTGAAGCAGTTGGTCCCACTGAAGGACCAAGCCTGGTCCTTCTTTTGGACCTTTGAAGCCTGGTCCCACTGAAGCCAGGAGAACTAGAGTAGATCCGATAGCTGAGGATCCCACGCTGCTCTTGCTGGGCTCCCAAGTCACACTACTTGGTTGCAGGAGACCAGGAGGTATTTTCACGTATGATGGCAGCAACAGCTACTCAAAGGGACACTTTGATGACCTTTCTTGGTTTGTTCTGGTGTCCTTCCTGCAAATGTCAGTGTGCTTTTTATGATGTGTGTGTGTGGGTTACTTACCCCACCTTGCTGAAATGGTCTTGCACCTGGAGGAAGGTGGATCTGGTGTCCAGAGGGGCTTGAGTTGATGCATGAGACCTTTTTGGGAAGAGAGAACCTCAATATCTACGTCCTGCTTGGGCTGTTGGGGATGGACTGGTGAGATGCTGTCCTGGGAGGTCAAGGCTGATGTCTTCCCTGGTGAAATGCTCCAGCGTGGTCGGAGTTAGTGGTGACCAGAGATGATCAGATGGGCAAAGCAGCCTCCTGCGCTCCAGCCAAAAGCTGTTGGGAGCCGCAGAGGTGCCTCTTCCCTCGGCCCTGATTTATCTCCTGCTGAGGCTGTTTGTTCTGGTACTGGGATGTTGGCAGCTCTGCAAATTGAGATGAGCTTGGTTCTGAGCCCGACTTGCTGATGGCCATCTGTCAGATCCTGGGACAGGTACTGGTGTCTGTACAAGCTGTGGAAATCAGGAGATGGAGCTGGTTCAGGAATATGCTGCAGATCTCCGCATCCATCACTACTGGAGCTCGATTCCAGTGGTTGGTCTAGCTGGGGCAGCTCAAAGAGAAGAGCTACCCTTGCCCACCAGTCTTGGACCTGGGCTCTGGAGAAGATTGAGCTGGATAGCTGTGGATTGCCATGTGATGTGTGTTTCTTGTCCCTTCTGCTGCTTCCAGTGGTGTCACCTTGCTCCCCAGCTGCTGAGGTGGCTCCACACCCCTTATCTCCCTCCAGCACTCAGGTCCTGTTCAGCACTTCCCCCCAAATGTGTCCTACTGGGGCACAGACGTGCTACCATGGGCCTGTCTCGGCATGTGAGCCCCTGTCCTCTGCTTACATGGAGCAATATGGAAGCAGGATGAGTCCAGCATCCCCTGTGCCAGTGAGGTTAGTTATGATGGTCTAGGAAAAGGTAGTGACAGAAACCAGAGTGGGATGTCAAGAGGAGACACAGGGAATGGGGTTAAATGGAGGGAAGGGGATTTACCCTTTGATGGCACGCTGGCATGGCAAAGTGGCGATTTTTGGCTTGGTGGTCAGAAGACAGGCTGGGAGAGTTGGGGCTGTTCAGCCTGGAGAAGAGAAGGCTCTGGGGAGACCTTCCAGCACCTTCCAGTACGTAAAGGGGCTACAGGAAAGCTGGAGAGGGGCTTTGGACAAGGGTGTGGAGTGACAGGACACGGGGCAATGGCTTTAAACTGGAAGAGGGGAGATTTCGATGAGATCTAAGGAAGAAATTCTTCCCTCTGAGGGGGCTGAGGCACTGGAGCAGGTTGCCCAGAGAAGCTGTGGCTGCCCCATCCCTGGAAGTGTTCAAGGCCAGGTTGGATGGGGCTTTGGGCAACCTGGTGTAGTGGAGGGTGTCCCTGCCCATGGCAGGGGGGTTGGAACTGGATGATCTTGAAGGTCCCTTCCAACCCAAACCATTCCATGGTTCTAAGCCAGAGCATCACGCAGCTGACTTTACCTTGTTGCTCACTGTTAGCGCAGGGCCATGACCACCCTGTGGCTTGAGTGGTGTGAGATGGAGCACGGGGATGCTCGTGTGAGCACCCACTGGTGATGCTTGGCTGGGGCAGGGATGGGGGGGGCCAGGCCAAGCCACGGGCACACGCACGCGGCGTGCAGACGAGCTCCAGGCCAACGCTATAAACAAGCCCAGGCGTTCCTGGGCGGTGCTGCTGGCTTGTGTTACCCCGTCCCCATCTGCTGCCGGCTCAAAGCGCGCACGTGCGCTCGGGAGCCGCGAGCGTTGGCACGTGGGGAGCGTGGCACTGCCAGAGCCCTCTGGGGAAGGTCACCCGCTGCCCCACCGCTCTGCTTGTAAGATGCCTCCATACAGCCCCTTGGCAACGGGCCCCTTTTTAAAGCCACCCCCGTGACCTCGGTGAGCACCTGGGTGAGTTGCTGCGGTACCGGCTCCGTTAATGAACGGCACCGGTGGCAATTAGCAGAGCACAGCCCTCCGGCGCTTTGCGGCTTGACTCCGTGGTGGCATCTGGCTCTGAGCTTGGTGGAAAACCACGATGGCCTTGAGGGATGGAGTCCTGAGCTTCTTCCCAGTTGCTCCAGTGAGTGTGGCTTGGGAATCAAGTGATGGAGAAAATGAAGCATTGGACTCGGGGCAGGTTTGCCCCCAGAGTCCCATCATACATGGGCCCTGGGGCAATCGAGCACTGTGATGCTTAATCCAAACTGGCAGCGTGATTTGGCCCTGTTCCTGCCCCCGTTTCCATCCTTTTCTATCCAGGGATCTGAGCGAGAGGGCAAGGAGTATCTCTGTAACATGCTCAACCACACCGACGGGTCCTCGTGTTGCCAAGGTGGCTTCCAGCAAACCCCGACCCCGTGGCACCTCTGTGCCAAAGTGATGTTGTTTGGGTGCTGGATCCATGGGTAACCCCAAGCTCTCCGGGGCCGGTTGCATCCCGGCACAATCGCTTCCCCCACGTGGGGCTCAGGGTGGTGGGGAAACGCGTGAGCTTTTCAAAGAGCTTCAGCATTCCCAGGAAAAGAGGAAAGTTTGCTGAAGGATGAGCCTGATGCAGGTTTTTTTGGGGGGGAGCAGGAGGTCTTTGCATCAGCTGCTGTAGATGGGGAACATCCCCAGCTCAGGATCGGGCTTTTCCCCTGGCTCAGGGCTTTGGATTGTGCCAATAAGTAAATAAGGAAATTGCTCTTCTCTTTGGGACCTGGTTCCGCTCTTGCTTTCACCGTGGGGATGGAAAAGCTTTGCTGAAGTCAGCAATGGGTTTAGGCGGCCAGTCCTCTGTCCCCCAGCCCCTTCTCTGCTTCAGAGCTGGAGGAGCCGTGTCTCCTGGGCGGGGGTTGAGTTTTGGGAAGAGGTTGAAGACTCCCGTGCCTGCCGGCTGCGGTGCTTGGGAGATGAGGAAAAAAGATTGAAAAAGGGGATAAACCTCAGATTTGAAGAGGTAGTGCCCCGGAGCCTTTTCCAGATGATGCTGGTGTCTCAGGGCATGCACGGAGGTGGTGATGCCATCACTCCGGAGCGAGCGGCCAACCCTGCTCCAAACCTGGGCCAGCACCCACCACCGGCGCCTTCGGGTTGATGCAGAACCCAAAGAATCACCGTTACCTCCCCAGGGCCGCTTTCCGAGCTCGGCGCTGCCGAAGGGACCATCCATCACCTTGTTTTTCCGCTGTCAAGGAGCCGCCTCCCTCCGCTCCCCCCTCCCCGCGTACGCACACGCGCTCGCTTTCTCCGGAGCTCACTGGTCCTTGTGGGAATGGCAAATGCGAGGCTGGATTTGCTTGCCCAGGTTCATCCCGGGGAAGGCATAACGAGGATGGCACGGGGCGGTTGGGTTCCTCGGCACGGCCGGGAGCATCCTCAGTTTTCCATCTTTCGGCAGCAGAGCTGTCCCTGCAGAGGTGGGGAGCGGATCCTGCAGCTTGTCTTTGAACAGGGCGGCCATTCGGACCCAAGAATCTGGTTTTCAGTGCAAAACTGAAGTTTCTTTCCAGAAAGAAAAGTGGCTTTTGGGCTGGCAGGAGCATTTGTTCTGTTGCTGCTGCTTTTCAGTAAAAGTTGGAGCAATTTCTGGCTTTCTTGGGTGAGCACGGAGGGTTCCCGTGCTTAAAGCAGTAGAAATATTCGCTTTTTGGTGCAATTTCTTATGGAAAATAATGAGCTCGTCTACCTGCTCCTCTCCGTACAGGAAGGTGTCAGCAGCAGCTTGCTGCTACAGCCGGCTTAAAAACCAGAACCGGGGGAATAACTCCTTCCAAATCCCATATTTGTTTGAGTTCTGCTGCTTTTCCCCGTTCGCTTCAGCCCACAAAATCCCCCGACTCATTCCTCATTCAGAACAATTTGGGAAACAAAACCCAACGTCCTCCCAGGACCCATTCTGTCTCGTGGAATCGATGACTCTCGAGTCCTGGATTTGCCCGGCGCTGCTTGGGGAGAGGCGAGGGGAAGGGAGGGGAGGTCTGGAGGATCAGCAGAACCTTGGTCGCCCTCCAAAAGCCCTTCTTGAGTCTTTTTATTTGTTTTTAGGGGGTGGAATTGGAGCGCGGGGCTGGGCGATGCTCCCCCTGTTTGCTCTTGGCTTTCCGAGCCTTGGGAAGGAGGTTGCTCGGCTCTAACCTGTCCGTTTTCTTCACCAAGGCTATGGAAAATCCCGAAGCTTAAGCAGCATAGATGGTGTGGCAGGATCCACGGTGGGCTTGGCTCCCCTCGCGTCCCGCTGCAGCTCTCCCTGCCCTCTGCGACAGCCCTGCTCTCCCGTCCCTTCCGTCCTCTAAACCGCCGCCCGGATCCCGCTTTGTCGTGTCGTCTCGCTCTGTCCCCTCCTTTTCCCTCCCTGCTCCTTCCCGGGATGCCGTGGTGGTGCCGGAGGAGACCCAACTGGGACATCTCCATCGCTGAGGAGCAAGTTCCGATGTTCTCCAGCCCAGCGCTGCCGCCGTGCCCCCCCCGCCCGGTTCCCAGGACCTGTAACGTCTCCCTTGAACTTGTCTCGTGTCCATGTGTTTGGGGCGATCCCTCGAGTGGGTTGAGGGTTTGCTCAGTGTTTGGTTTTGGGGTTGTTTTTTGGGTCGTTTTTGGTTTTTTTTTTTTTTTTCCTTGAAACCTTATTCATCCTAAATAGATCGGGCCAACCCCCCTGGTGTTGAGCCCTCCCTCCCGTGGGCCGTTTGCACTTGGGCAAAGGGTGGTGGAAACAAGGAGGACACATTGACTCATAAAATTATATATTATTGTGCTGGAAATGGCTGAGTTCATATAATTTTAGGTCTTTTATTTTATTTTTTTTTAAAAAAAACCCAGCCTCAAGTTTCTGGAGGCAACAGCTGAATAAACCTCTGTTCCCTGCCCAGCAGCCATTCCCCTCTTGTTTTGTGCCTTTTTCTTGCCTAAATAATTTTCTTTTCCCTTCTGGTTTGTGTCCACTTCTCCATGCAACCTCAGGGATGGTCCTGGGGCTGAAGGTGGCTTTGGCAGCCTGGAAAACCACGGTCCCATGGAGGTGGGAGGTTGCAGGGCCCTGGGCTGGGTGTGGGGAGCATGCGAAGCTGGGATAAAGGATTGAAAAATATACCTATGGGTGATCCCACAAAGAGCTGGGAGGTGGTGGGGAGGGGAACAAATGCGGGTCCCTGGGAGGAACTGGGAAAGGTGGTGTTGAATAATGGGGAAATGAGAGATTTTGAGACCAAATGATGCCTAAAGGGATGCGGGGAAGGGTGAGGTGGGTCCAGAGGAGGCCCACAAAGATGGTGCAAGGGCTGGAGCACCTCTGCTATGGAGACAGGCTGAGAGTTGGGGTTGTTCAGCCTGGAGAAGAGAAAGCATCTGTCCTCTGCCTAGGATGACCCCTGTACTGCGGCGGTGATTCACCCCTCAGTGGCAGCACCTGAGTTTACCGTGCGTTGCTGGTGTAGCTGAATTCCTTGAATTTCTGTAATTTCGGTATTTAAAGTGTGTTCCCGCACCAAACAGTTCATAAATTACCCGAAAACGCCATGAGCCAGGTGAAGGGGTGAGTACTGGCATTTCTCTGGCTCATCCTTCCCTTTGGAGGAGGCTCCTCTCGCAGCAGGAGGAGCTGAAATATCTCCATCCCGTGTGGGAGAGAAGGTCACCCTCCACAATCCCAGTGGTCTCTGAATCATAAATGATTTAACCAAGGTCATGCGCTGACTTTAGGGATGAGCCAGGCATGAAAAACCAGCTCTGCTGCCCTGTCCTTGTAGGAGCAGCAGATCGAGAGACTCAAACTTTGGGGTTTGAAAGCTCTTGAAAGCAGAGGATTGACCTTGTTCTGCTCTGGGGTCCCCAACATCAGAAGGACATGGAGCTGCTGGAGCGGGTCCAGAGGAGGCCACGGAGATGAGCCAAGGGCTGGAGAACCTCCGCTCCTGAGAGAGTTGGGGCTGTTCAGCCTGGAGAAGAGAAGGCCCCGGGGAGACCTTCCAGCACCATCCAGTACCTAAAGGGGCTACAGGAAAGCTGGAGAGGGGCTTTGGACAAGGGTGTGGAGTGACAGGACACGGGGCAATGGCTTTAAACTGAAAGAGGGGAGATTTTGATGAGATCTAAGGAAGAAATTCTTCCCTCTGAGGGTGGTGAGGCACTGGAGCAGGTTGCCCAGAGAAGCTGTGGCTGCCCCATCCCTGGAAGTGTTCAAGGCCAGGTTGGATGAGGCTTTGATCACCCTGGTGTAGTGGAGGGTGTCCCTGCCCATGGCAGGGGGGTTGCAACTGGATGATCTTTGAGGTCCCTTCCAACCCAAACCATTCCATGATTCTATGAATGTAACACCCCGGAGCAGATTTACCCACAGATCCCAAGAGACCCCATCCCTGCACTGGGTTCCCAGTCAGCTCATCCAAACACTGGAGACGGTTGCCCTGGTATGGAAAACCCTTGATGGACCCCCAACCCCCATCAAAAAATACATAAATCTCATCCCCATCAGAGCAACGAGGGTTGAGCATGAGAGCTGACACGGAGCCGGTGCGATGCAATTTTTAGCAGCGGCGTTATGCAACTCGGGAGAAGGGATGACTAATGTGCAAAAAGCTCCTTTAAACCAAGCGAGCCCCGAATGGGAGACGAGGGATTTCAGTGGGAGGCACCAAACTGTTGGGGAAAAAAAAACAACAAACAACAAACCCTCATGGCATCTTCTCCCTCTTCCTCCCCGCCGCCTTCTGAACAAGTGATTTGGGGGATGCAAGAGGGGGGGGAAACCAGCACGTTGTTCTTTTTAGGTGGGGTCCAGGTTGGTTTGGGGAGTTGGTTTAGCAGGGGTTAATCCCTTGGATGAGATTATAAGAGGAGCTGGAGTGGATGCGAAGAGCAGATCACAAAATATCTCTGTAGGCCAAGGTTTTATCTCAAACAGTGGCCAAAATTGGCTGCCTGGAGAATAGGATAAGAATAGAGCAAGAATATAGGATACTTCCCCCGAATACCCTCCCAGCCGCTTATCTATGTTTAGGGATCTGGCGAGGAGCGCCCGTTCCAGCGCGAAGCAGCGGGAGAAAGCGAGGTCGTTGGATTTATTCTTGATGAACTCAATAAATCAATAGGAGGCCGCCTGCCTCCGCCCGAGTCCTAAAATGGCATTTAAAGACAAAAAAAAAAATCAACTGGTGTGCGGCGTCTGTCGGTATCACAGCCTGGAAAGGAGGGTTTTCCATGGGATGGGGTGAGCGCGTCGGGTCAGAGTCGCTGTCCTGTTCCTGGCAGGATGCTGTGGCTGAGCAGGGATGTGCAGCTCAAGTGCTGCGTGGACCATCTATACGTGCCCCTCGCCCACGTATGGCGTGATGCCCGGTGGCGTGGTACCACGGGGAGCGTTAGTGCCCCGCATTCCTCTCCCCATTGTGGCTGCGGATGGACAGGAACGGGATCGGAGATGCTGCGGAGCATCGGGCTGCCCTCATGTTGCTGGGAGTCCGTCTGTCTGTCCATCTGCTGAGTCCCTCAGCGCTTTGGGACGGGGATCAAACCTCCATAATTACCTCCGAAATCAGAAATCAGCCGTGCAAGGGGCAAAGCTGAACAGCCTCATCCTTTGGATCCAGGGAAGGGATATGGGAGCAGTTCCCTCCTCCTCCATCATCCATTCTTCCTTCTCTCCTCCTTCTCGGAGTCTGGCCCGCGCCGCCGTCCCGGCTTGCGTGTAAAGTATTAATTGTTATTGTTGCGACGGCTGCTCCGTTACTCGGGAGATGCCTGAAAGAGCTGAGAAAATAGAAAGGCCTGTTGGGCAGGAGGTTAAAATGTTAAGAGAGTAATTGCTCTGCCCAGAAGCCGCCTGTTTCTGGCTTCCCCAGCCCTGCCAGGAAAAATCCTTAGTGCTTATTTGATGACAACGAAAAGAAAAAGAAAAAAAAAAAAAAAATAGCAACCCCATCCCTTGCCCGTGCTGATGAGGAACGGGGGGAGCAGAGGCAGATGCAAAATAAGATGCAGTTGAGCTTATAAATAGGTGCCTCCCAGCTCCCAGTCTGTTACTTCATCACCTCCGCCCGGGCAATCGATCCCTAACGCGTTTCCCTTGGGAAAAGGCAAATGGAGGCTCAGAAAATCTTTGACAGACTGCTGGGAGCGGGTCCTGCTCCTCTTCTTGGTCCCCCCCGGGGCAGAGCCTCTGGTCCTCACAGCGTGGGAGAAGGGGGGTGGCTGCTGGCTTTTGCTCCATCCTCATGGAATCCCCCTGGCTTGACGTGGTCCGTGGGGATGAGCGTCAGTGGGAGATGCAGATGTGGGCTGGGAGGTGTCTGGGAGTGCGGTGGGGTGCTGTGTGCCACGGGGCACTGCCGGCTCTCAACCCCTCCTGGAAAGGAAAGGAAAGGAGAAAGGAAAGTAAAGAGGAAAGGAGAAAGGAAAGGGAAAAGGAAAAGGAAAGGAGAAAGGATGCCCGACATCAGAAGGACATGGAGCTGCTGGGGTGGCTTCTGAGGAGGTCAAT